CGTTAGACAGAGAATGTGCTGGAGGGGTCAGGCTGGGCTCAGCAGGACTGGTTAGGGGCTCCTGCCTGGGTCTGCCGGAGATGTCATGGCTTGGATGCGGCAGTGGAATCTCTTGCTCTTTTCACCTTTGGGGGACCTGTCAACAGCCAAACTAATTAAATCCTCGTAGGGTTGAGTGGGCAGCATTCCCAATTATTCAGATGGAAAGGCCTTTAGAGGGGGCCCTAATCAAGGTATTTCTGCCCCCCATGAGTAGTGAAGAGAAATAGCTTCTTGGAGAGGCGAGACTACAGGCCACATGGAGCCCAGGTGTGTGGGCCACTGAAAGACTGTTAGGAGACTGAATACTTCCCTTGTCAATGCCCAGGAAGCCATTGCTAGCTCCTTCTGCCCCACCACTCATGCTGTTTTCACCCAGCATATCTTGAAAAGGACAGGCCTATCCTAGGAAAGTAAAGCTGGGTTTTGGCTCAGAACCTGTGAACAACCCACGTCCCCATCCAGCAAAAGTCCTACTGATTGGGAGCAGAGGAGAAGGGTGGGTGAGTTAGACTGAATTTTCCATTACAGCATGCCTGAAAAGAAACAGTGTGGGCTGGGCGCGGTGGCTCAAGCCTGTAATCCCAGCACTTTGGGAGGCCAAGACGGGTGGATCACGAGGTTGAGAAATCGAGACCATCCTGGTCAACATGGTGAAACCCCGTCTCTACTAAAAATACAAAAAATTAGCTGGGCATGGTAGTGCGTGCCTGTAATCCCAGCTACTCGGGAGGCTGAGGCGGGAGAATTGCCTGAACCCAGGAGGCGGAGGTTGCGGTGAGCCGAGATCGCACCATTGCCCTCCAGCCTGGGTAACAAGAGCAAAACTCCATCTTGGGGAAAAAAAAAAAGAAACAGTGTGATGACTTTTAAGGACAAAGGTGAATCTATTAGGAGTCGTGTATGAAAAATGGTTTTCCTTTCTCTAATAGGCTAATATGCAGCCACAGCGTTACAACCTGCTGATCTGCTCCCATCAGCTGTGAGGCATATTGCTAATGACAAGAATAAGAAAATATTCATAATAGGCCGTTATCGCCTATTGAGTATTTACCATGTAGCAGGCACATTGCCAAGCATTTAGTTTGCACAATCAGATCCAATCCTAACAGGCCCTCCATTGTAGGAGTTCTGTTATCATATCCATTCTGCAGATGAGAATGCTAAGACTCAATAAGGTAAGTGACTTACCCAACGCCACACAGCCTGTAAGTGAGGGAGTCAGAATGGAAGCCTGAGATAGTCTGACTTCCAAGCCTGTAATCTACTTCTAACAGTGGAGATGACATCAGTGGTTTTGTGTGAATTACTTATTTTGTAAGTTAAAGTGAATTCATGGTCATCCCTCTATGAATGTCACTCTCAACTGCAAGTCCTGGTGGCTCCAGGGAATGGGTATAACCCTGGGTGTATCAGAGGCATGGGTCCTGGCCAGGCACAGTGGCTCACACCTTTAATCCCAGCACTTTGGGAGGCCAATGTGGGTGGATCACGAGGTCAAGAGATCAAGACCATCCTGGCCAACATGGTGAAACCCTGTCTCTACTAAAAATACAAAAATTAGCCTGGCGTGATGGTGCGCACTTGTAGTCCCAGCTACTTGGGAGGCTGAGGCAGGAGAATAGCTTGAACCTGAGAGGTGGAGGTTGCAGTGAGCCAAGATCTTGCCACTACACTCCAGCCTGGTGACAGAGTGAGACTCCATCTCAAAAAAAAAAAGACCTGGGTCCCGCTGGCGGAAGTTATGTGCCTTCCACGTCCAACAGGAAAAAGATTGAGGACCAATGGCCTGGTGAGGAGATAATAGACTGATCCCAGGGAAAAGATGTCTGCGTGGGTCTGTCTTAGCCCACTCCTCTTGAATTTTTAACCTCCTTTCTCCTTTACTTCTTGTCCTGGTGGCCTTCTTCAAGGTACCTGCTTCGTGTCCCCAGGGCTGTCTGCAGCTGTATGGCTCTGTGACTCTCTGGTTTCCAAAATGTCCTGCATGGATCACCCGAGTCCTAGAGACAGCCTCCCACTGTGGGGTCCCAGGCAGCTAGGCTCCTCATCTAAAAATAAATTAAACAGTCCCTAACTTCAGCCCCTCTAGTCCAGTCTCCCCAAAAGCAGGCAGAGGAAATTTCTGAAGGTCAGGGTGACACTGTTGCTCATCTTGAGATGCCTCAGTAGTTCCCTTTATCCTTGGTACATGGTTCAAATGATGCTTCTTGGACCTGCCCTCTCCTTACTTCTCCAGGCTTGGCTCTTTCCAAGGACCCCTCACTCTACACTCCACTATACTCAGCCACTAGCAGCTCTCAAAATGCCCTCGTGTGCCCTTGTGTCTCCTGCCTTTGCCAGTGCTGAAGCCACCACCTGTAACACAGTTTCTTCCCACTCTTTCTTCGTCTCAAGACTCAGAGCCGGGTGTGGTAGTGCATGCCTGTAATTCCAGCACTTTGGGAGGCCGAGGCGGGCGGATCACCTGAAGTCAGGAGTTCAAGACCAGCTGGTCAACTTGGTAAAACCCCATCTCTACTAAAAGTACAAAAAGTAGCCAAGCATGGTGGTAGCTGCCTATAATCCCAGCTACTCAGGAGGCTGAGGCAGGAGAATTGCTTGAACCCAGGAGGCGGAGGTTGCAGTGAGCCGAGATCGCGCCATTGCACTCCAGCCTGGGTCTAGCAAGACTCTGTCTCAAAAAAAAAAAAAAAAAAGACTCAGCTCTGGGGTTACCTTTTCTGGGGCATTTTTCCTGGCTTCCTTGCACCGCTTTCTGCATTCTGGCCTTCTTTTCCCTACCGTTAGTGTATTTCTGTGATAGACTTTCTCACATTGTGTTAATGTGGCAGGTGCACGTGTGTTTTCTGTTTGTCTCCTCTATTCTCAGTGAGCCCCAGGTGAATCACATGCACACTGAAACCTGAGAATCACTGGTCTAGCTCTTTGCCCAGGAGGAAAAGGAGATGGGCTGGGTAGAGAGCTTGCCAGTCTCCACCAGTTTTGCCCATGTGCCCAATCAGAAGCCACGTAGTTGACTAAAAAGGTCTTCCATTGTCCCTGTCACAGCTGCTTCACAGAGGTTAGGAGTGTGAGCTCTGAATTTAGACATACAAGTCATCAACTAGTTACCACCCATTACCTGTGTGGCTTTGGATGAGTTGCTTGCATTCTCTGAGCTTCAGTTTCTCATTTGTGGGGTGAAGATCATTAATAGTACAATTAAATGAGATAATTCATGCAAAGAAAATCCTTTCTGCACAGTCTTGGCACAAAACAAGTGCCCAGTACATGCCAGTTACAGGCGATGTGCAAAGACCAGGCTTTAATTAAGCACGGATGTTTAATCTCAGCAGAGTTGCAATTCAATTACACATATATTAATTTAGAACCTTTGTCTTTCAGGGTGTTTGCCAGATGCTGCAAAGAGAAAAAGACTGAATTCTTCCTAAAGAGTTCACAAAAGACTTGGGGGAATAACACTGATCAAACGACTCAAATTCATGGAATGGGACCCCCTTTATAAAATAAGGACTCTGAGGTTTCAAAGAGTGTTTGAGAGAAGGAGAATCTCACAAGCCGTTGAGTGATTAGGAAAGGCTTTGTGAATTCGTTAGTATTTGAAAGAGCCTTGAAGTGAGGATCCAATTTCATGGGTCTTGGAGTAGAAAGGGCACTCCTGGCAGAAGACGGGAAAGAGCCTGATCCAAAACACAGAGGTTCTTCAGAAGATGGCAAGTTTCCAGGTGACTTTTCATATAGGCTGGGTTTGGGAGAGCGCTGGTACGTAACCTGGAAATGTACATCAGTGGCAGACTTGGTGTTTAATCTAGGGGGTAAATGGGAAGCCATTGGATGCCATTACTTACCCCAAAATGTCAATATATCTCCTGCTTCGAAAGTGCAGTTATATGGGTGGGAAAGATGGCAGATGAGCCCTACAGTACTTTTCTGACCACCTGCAGTAGACCACCCGCTATGAGTGTCCCAGATCCCTTGATGGGGCTGGTGTGCGAACCCCCCTGCACCTGCTAGGGTTAGGTGTGAACAGCGCACAGTGGCCCCCTGCTCCGAGAATTGCCTTTGACCAACTCAACAGGAGTTGCCTGACCCAGCAGGTGAATGCTCCCATCAAGGGGTAGCTCACTGCCAATGACTAATAGGAATGGGGTACAAGAGGCCAGCTCCCTTGCCTCAAGGTAGGACCCACTGCATGTGCAACTCACACTCCAGAGCTGCCCATGGAGTCAGACTGAAAAGACCACAGCTGATACTCCGTCCTTGCTTAATGCCTTCCCCTGCCCCGTCCAGCTTCCCTCACAGCCCTTTGCTCCAGACCCAAGACGCCACCTCTCTCAATAAGAGCTTTTCCTCTTTTATGCCTCAATTCTTTCTTTCTCTTGTTGGCTAGTGACTCTGGACCCGAGATACAGCTTCTTTCCTCTTCTCTGGGATTTAACCAGCAAGACACTGTTGAAAATGTCAATGACCTGGCTCCTGGCCGCTGGATGATGGACAGCAGGACCAACAGATTTCAAAGTGGTTGAAGTAGTGTGGGGAAAAGTCGGGTAAATAGAGCATTACTCAGTCATGGCTCCTGGTCCCTGGGGAGCATCAAACCAGAAAAAATCAGAGCGAGGTGACTTATACTTGTAATCCCTGCACATTGAGAGGCTGAGTCAGGATTGTTTGAGGCCAGGAGTTCGAGACCAGCCTGGGCAACATAGTGAGACCCCCCCCCCCACCTCTACAAAAGAAATACACAATAAAAAGTTATCTGGACATGGTGGTGTGCACCCGAGGTGCTAGCTACTTGGGAGGCTGAGGTGGGAAGAAAGCTTGAGCCTAGTAGTTCAAAGCTGCAGTGACCTATGACTGTGCCACTGTATTCTAGCCTGGGTGACAGAGCAAGATCCTGTCTCTAAAAAGAATTTAAAATAAAATAGAATAAAGACTAAGAAAAAAGACAGGGAAACAGATTTTTAAAAAATTGTTTCTGCATCTTTTCGATGCAAGTGTCCAGTACTCAACCAGTTACAAAATAACCATGACAACGTGGGGTCAACGGGGCGCTTCCTTCCGGGAACACAGCAGGATTGCCCTTTCTTCCCTTTGAAGTTAAGCTTGGCCACGTGACTTGTTTTGGCCAATGAAACGTGAGTAGAAGCAACCTGTATCCATCCTGGACAGAAGCTTTAAGAGCCAGTGTAGCTTTTTCTAGATTCTGTTTTCCTCTGTCATGGTGGCCAGCAACATTAGAGATGGCAGCTGCTCCATCAACCTGGATTCTTGAATATCTATGATAAGCACAGTGCTTGCTGATCCACATGGACATGTAATATGAGCAAAAATAAAAATGGTATTATTTTAAGCTGCAAAGACTTTGGGGCTATTTGTTATTACAGTATACTGTCCGATACAAATAATTTTTAAAATGACAATGAACATGCTGACTGTATGCCAGGCACTGTTCTAAGTGCTTTCCGTTTGTTTACTCATTTAATCCCCATATCAACCTATGAGGTACATACTATCATTATCCTATTTTATAGATGATAATATGGGGGCGGGGCAAAGAGGTTGTATAACCAGTAAGTGGCAGCCACCAAATTCAAACCCAGGCAACCTAGTTTTTGTTCATTATATATATCACAGAAAAGATCATGCAATACCTCCTGTAATTTAAAAGTCCATGTATCACCTGCTTCAGGCACAGCTGGATCCAGGTGCTCAAAAAGGTGTCAATTGAAATCACTCTCTGTGTTTTGCTTTTCTCTGAGTTGGCATCATCCTCATTTTCCAATGAAGAGGTCTCCACATCTTCAGGCTTATTTACAGGAGAAACTACAGGGAAGATAAATTTTATTCCCCAATAATTCTGGCAAAAAGTCTTTTTTTTTTTTGAGACAGTCTCGCTCTGTCACCCAGGCTGGAGTGCAGTAGTGCAATCTTGGCTCACTGTGACCTCTGTCTCCCAGATTCAAGCAATTCATTTGCCTTAGTCTCCTAAGAAGCTGGGATTATAGGAGCCTGCCACCATGCCTGGCTAATTTTTGTATTTTTAGTAGAGATGGGGCTTCACCACATTGGCCAGGTTCATCACAAATTCCTGACATCAAGTGATCTAACCGCTGTGACCTCCCAAAGTGCTGGGATTATGGGTGTGAGCCACCTTGCCCAGCCAAATTCTGTCAAAAAGTCTTTAGGGAACCATCTTTCTTCTACCCTCCATCCCCATCATTCAGTGGGGCTTCACCTGAAGAAGGGCCGTGAACCCTGAGCAGAGGACAGCCACCGTCTCCTGCCTATGTGTGTGATCAAAGCCATCAGCGACTGAGAGCTTCTGAGAATCTGCCAAAGGGCCTGAGAACTCTCACATCTGCAGTTGCTGGAGTCATGAAAATAAACAACAGCCCCTCAGATGAATACCAGTTATACTGTCACACATTGTCATGGAATTAAAGATGGCAAAACTCCAAATTGGAAGTCCTGGGACTTGCATGCATACTGGAAGGATTGCTGGATTTTATTTCATTTTTATCCTTGTTCTTCCTCCCGGCCCTGAGTTCATCTTCCTCTCCATTCCTCAACTTGTGCTGCAGACTCACACAGAGGTTCCCATGCACACTTACTTTTTCCAGACTGTAAACACACAAACACACATACCCACACACGGACACGCAGGCAGCCACGCAAACGTAGATACACACAGAGACTGCGGTAGTTCTGGTGGTAGATGTGGCATTGGATTGGGGTCACGAGACCTGGCTTCTTGTTCAGCTCCACTCTCTGTGAACTTGGGGCTGCCACCAACTTGCTCTGTGTTTCAGTTTTTTCACCTGATGTGGTCTTGTACCAGATGATTCCAGATGTCCTTCCCAGCTTCCACACTGAGAACAGAGCTGGTTCCCAGCTCCCCTCTCAATTGCCTCCCTTAAATCTTCCTCCTGGCCAAGACTCCTGGACTCTTCTCTGGCCTCAGCAGGGCTCCAGCCCGAGGTCCAGCCCCAGGCTCAGCCCCAGGCCCTGCAGTATCCCCCCTAACCCCCACTGTGGCCAGTGGCCCCCAGGGCTCAGCTCTCTCAGGACAGCTGCTCCACTGCGCTTTACCAGCAGCATTGCAAATGCTTGGGCCTGTCCTTAAGAATGGCCTCCCCTTCTTCCAGCCAATAATTTGTGCCTCAGATGGAATTCCTGAGGGCAAAAATGCAGAGAATCATATTAATATGCATCCAAATAAAACACAGCATGCACAAGGGCAATATGGCGTTATTGCCAAAGAAATACCCAAGTTGGCATCAAGACCTTTGTCCTATGTAATAATAAGAAACGTCCCTTCCAGGGACTTAAAAGCTACTGGAACCCAGCCTATGGTCAGGGATTCCTATGAGGGAGATGGAGCAAGTGATCTAGCATGTGATTCATTGCTGTCATCGGCATCATCACCAACCGTAGTATCGAATGAAATCTTGGTATGATGACTTTCAGTTTACACAGTGGTTTCCCATGTATGACCTCATTGGGTTTCCCAGCCATACACTGAAGTTAGCATTCACGTTTCTATTCTTCTTCTTGCGTCCTTTTATGTTTGGTAGCAGACACTGTCATTGCCCCTCCTTTTGCCCTGGGTTCTCACCATTTCTGATGGCTCCTTACTGTAAGCACTGGGGGTCCCTTCCTGTCTCAGTCAGTTCTGGCTGTTATTTTTAAAAAGAAAAGAAAAAAGCTCCAGAGACTGGGTGGCGTAAACAACAGGCCTTCATTTCTCGCAGCTCTGGAGGCTGGGAAGTCTAAGACAAGGCACCTGCAGATCAGGTGTTGGCCAAGAGCCGCTTCCTGGTTTGCAGATGGCTGTCTTCTCATTGTTTTCTCACATGGTCAAGAGCAGAGAGAGTGGGCAAGCTGCTCTTCTGATAAGGGCACTAAACCCATCACAAAGGCTCCACCTTTATGACCTAATCACCTCCCACAGGCCCCACCTCCTAATTCCATCACGTGCAGGGCTAGTATTTCAACATGGGGATTTTGGAGGGTTGCAAACATTCAGCCCGTAACATGCCTAAGAGCTTTCTTCAGCCACAAGCTCTGGCTAAACCTGTGCTAGGGACAGTCTGGAGGTGCCAAGGAGTTAATGCCTCTGGGAGTAGCCCTCGCCCTGTGGCGGCTGGCGGCTGGTAGCTAAACCCCACTGCTTCCTCGTCCCTTGGGTGGGACATCTCTGAGGCGTGCTCCACAGTCTCTCAAGGTCTTAAGGTGCAGTTGCCCTCTGTGGTGACCTTACCTACTCATTACAGTTCCCTGGGTTGCTTTTCTTCCTTCTATTTCCCATGTCTCCTCTCGACTCTCCTCCTGGAGTTTTCCGTGATCTTGTCCAGTGGAGCTACTTGCTCTCCCATCTTTGTCTCAGGCCTGCCTCTAGGAGAACCGAGCTCAAGTCAAAGGCCCTCAAATCTCTCGTGAGTCAGAGAGCAGGGACTGACCCAACGCTGGCTGCAAAGCCCAAGCTCTGTCCACCCCACCACGCTGCCACACTCATGGGCTCTCACAGAAGACAAAAGCCAAGACAAGGGGGCCACTGTTCTTTTCAAAGCCCAGGTGGAGGAAAGCCACCAAATCAAGCACATCCAAGATCTCTGAGCATCCTCGAATTCAAAGCAAAGGAAAACAGGATGCTAGTTCACGAGCACAAGTATTTAAACTTCTCTTTCAGAATGACACTAAAATGGTTGATTATTAGCTGGGCACTGTGGCTCACATCTGTAATCCCAGCATTTTGGGAGGCTGAGGCAGACAAATCACAAGGTCAGGAGTTCAAGACCAGCCTGGCCAACATGGTGAAACCCTGTCTCCACTAAAAATACAAAAATTAGCCGGGCATGGTGGCACACGCTTGTAATCCCAGTTACTTGGGAAGCTGAGGCAGGAGAATTGCTTAAACCTGGGAGGCAGAGGCTGCAGTGAGCCAAGATCTTGTCACTGCACTCCAGCCTGGGTGACAGAGAGAAATTCCATCTCAAAAACAACAACAAAAAAAACAATAAAAGGCCAGGCATGGTAGCTCACACCTGTAATCCCAGCACTTTGGGAGGCTGAGGAGGGTGGATCACCTGAGGTCAGGAGTTCAAGACCAGCCTGACTAACATGGAGAAACCCAGTCTCTACTAAAAAAAAAAATTAGCCAGGCGTGGTGATGCATGCCTGTAATCCCAGCTATTCTGGAGGCTCAGACAGGAGGATTGCTTGAACCTGGGAGGTGGAGGTTGTGGTGAGCCGAGATTGCACCATTGCACTCCAGCCTGGGCAACAAGAGTGAAACTCCATCCCAAATACATATCATATAAAAATATATATATAATGGTTGATGTTTTAAAAAAGTATTCATTTCATTTTTGAAAAATAACTAAATATTCATTCAGGCTTTTTCACAAATGTGCCTCTTTGGTTTTTGGAATGCCTTACTTTCCTGTCCAAGAATTACATTGTCACTGAAAGTCCTCTTTCATTTTCTTACAAAATTATATCATCTTCTTGAAGGGAGGTATGTGGCAAGATTGGCAGGGGGGCATGGAAGGCTTTGGAACGAGCTGATATTTGGGCTGAGACCCTGCAGGTGAGTATTGGACCAGCAGGCAGAAAGCCGGGAGGGTGTTTCCCAGGCACAAAGCCTGGCCTGTGTGTGCACATGGATGCCAGGGAGCGTGCTCTGTGACAGCTGGGCTCTGGGCCAGCTGGAAGGAGCAGAAGAAACGAGTGTGAGTGAACAGGCAGGCACGCCACGCTCTGCCTTCAGGGCGATAACAAGAGAAAAGAGAAAATGAATGTCAAATGGGAAACCACCTGGTTTTCTTCAGATTAAGGGTGGGGCCCTAAGGGCGAGCGTGCCCTGGCTCCTGAGCTGAGCAGGGCTTTGAGCGACACCCTTGAGTCATCGGGGAAGGTCCTGCAGCGCTGCTGTGGACAGCTCTGGGACAGCAGAAGCCTTGTTAAAGACCCAGTCTCCGCCATAAGATACTATCTGTTGAGCTGGGGTCTGAGGGAAATACTTTAACTGGGTCAGGGGACCCATTCCAGGGACCAGGATGGGTGATCAGGAGTGTGTTTGGTCCTCATAGACTGGCTTGTGCTCTCAAATGTTTTAAACAGTAAAGATGCAAGGTCAGAAGTTTGGGCTGGACATGGTGGTTCATGCCTGTAATCCCCGCACTTTGGGAGGTAGAGGAGGGCAGATCACTTGAGGCCATGAGTTCGAGACCAGCCTGGCCAACACAGTGAGACCCCCATATCTACTAAAAATACAAAAAAATAGCAGGGTGTGGTGGTGCATAACTATAATCTCAGGTACTTGGGAGGCTGAGGCATGAGAGAATTGCTTGAACCTGGGAGGCAGAGGTTGCAGTAAGCTGAGATCACGCCTCTGTACTCCAGTCTGGAAAACAGAGTGAATAAATAAATAAATAAATGGAGAAATATTTTTTTAAAAAGTTTGGAGGAACTGTCCTACAACAGCACTCAGCATATATGTTGTAACTGGTTCATCACCTGGGCACACGTTCCTTCAGGCCAGAGACTGACGTATTGTAGAAGGTCTGTTTACCCACCATAGTTCCAGGCACACAGTCGGAGCTCAATAAATGGCTGCTGAACAGAGTGTATATAGAAGCATTATTCTGAATTTCAGCATTTTCTCTGAGAGTCAGTCAGCATCAGGGAAAGAGGAAAGCTTGTTTTACATTTAAGTCATTACGGATGAGTTGGACCAACTGGTGACCCCCAGTGAGTGACCCTCTGGGAGAGATCCTGAAGCTCTGTGCCTCCTGCTGATGCCACAATGCAACAACAGCATTTGCTGTGCATTCGCTGGAGCTATGACCGATCTGAAAAGCACAGATCTTGCTCAGTGTCGGCGCTGCAACTACGTTTGTCACAGAGTCTGAGGGGTCTGCTCTTAGGGACTGATTTTTTTTTTTTTAACTTAACATTGCCATCCTCTCCTAGGACACAGAGAAGTCGCCTTAGTGACTTCCCTACTGCCAAGATCTGATTGTTTGTGTCCCCTGAACATTCATGTGTTGAAATCCTAACCCCCAAGGTGATGACATTAAAAAGAAAATCCCAAGATAGTGGCATTAAAAGAGAAATGAGACAATGGCATTAGAAGGTGTGACCTTTGGGAGGTGATTGGGCTGTGAGCGTGGGTCCCTGATGAATAGGATTTGTGCCCTTATAAATGGGGCCCCAGGGAGCTCCCTCCTCATCCCACCATGTGAGGCCACAGCCAGAAAGCACCATCTATGAACCAGGAAGTGGTTCTCACCAGACATTGAATCTGGCAGCGCCTTGATCTTGGACTTCTCAGCCTCCAGAACTGTCAGAAATACATTTCTGGGTTTTTTAAAAATAATCTACCCAGTCTATGGTATTTTGTTACAGCAGCCCAAAAAGACTCATTCATTTCCAGACAGGGAGCTCTGACCGGGACCTCAGGAATGGCCGGAATTAGTCTAGAACTTTGATTACGTGAGAACAAAAATATTGGACTGTAAGTTTTGGTGGAAAATGTGCTTGTGGAGTAATAAGAGCAAGAACAAAACATGAGGGAGGCTGTGGCTCTCAGTCCCCTCGAGGGGGCCTCTCCTCTGTCTGCCTCCATCCTTCTCATAACCCACTTGCCTGGATTCAAACCCCACAGCTCACCATTTCTGGCTGTGTGACTATGGGCCAGTTGCTTAACCTCCCTGCGCCTCAGTTTCCTCATCTGTACAGTGAGGATAATAATAGTATCTACCTCTTACTGCTGTTGGAGGATTAAGAAATTAACAAGTGGAAAGGATTTGGGAAATGGCTGGGCACACAGTAAGGACCATCCTAACAAAGTGTTATTCCCTGGTAAGATTAGTTCAGGCAGAAGATAATAACGTTGTATAAAATACATTATGTGAAGATCAAATAATGCTACATAAAATACATTTTGTGTCCTAGAAAGGATGTCTGAAGCTTCTGGAAGTCTCCAGACAGAAGGAAGCTCATCTGGAAAAGAGGAGGACCCTTGTGTGGGGTCATTACCCAGGAGCTAATGACTTCATGTTCTAGCTCAGACAGGGTCTCGGCCTTGCTGTATGACCCTGGACAAACTGATTAACCTCCCTGGGTCATTAAAGAAAAGGAGAAAGAGAGATTAAAAAAAAAAAATCAAAGAGTAAAAAGAAAACAATAACACAGTCTTAGCGCACAGAACAACTTGGTTCCTAAGGAAGACTGGAGAGGCTAGAAACACTGGGTGAGTTGTAAGTCGATGCTTGATGACCACGGGTTTATCTATTATCTTTTGGGTGTCCGGGGTCAGCTGGTTGCTGGCTGAGACAGAAATGAACTCTCTCAGGTTACACGTCCAATGAACCTGAATCAACTTACAAATCGAAAAGCCCAGCTTGGGCAATATGGTGAAACCATATCTCTACAAAAAGATACAAAAAAGTAGCCGGGCATGGTGGCACATGCTTGTAGTCCCGGTTACTCAGGGGACTGAGCAAGAGGATCCTTTGAGCCCAGGAGGTTGAGGCCTCAGTGAGCCATGATCGTCCCAGTGCACTCTAGCTTGGGCGACACAGTGAGACCCTGCCTCAAAAAAAAAAAAAAAAGCATTTCCTAGACATCACAGTTGTTCAATAATACCTCCTTATCACTCCTCTGACCACAAAGGAAAGGAGATATGGTATTTGAGGCTCAGAACTCAGCCTGAGTTTCCCACACAGCTTTGAGGAACACCCCTTTTGAAACCTAATTCAGGAGATGGGGTTAACCAAAGGACTATTTCTCATTTGTGAACATATTTGAGAGAGGAATATATACTACATTCCGTTTGGTTATTGCTATTGGATGTTTGTCCCTACTAAATCTCCCTGTTGAAATGTGATTCCCAGTGTTGAGGATGGGGCCTGGTGGGAGATGTTGGGTTGTGGGGATGAGTCTCTCATGAATTTAGCACCATCCCTTTAGTGAAAAGTGAGATTGTGTGTTTGTTTGTTTGTTTGAGGTGGAGTTTCACTCTTGCCTCTCAGGCTGGAGTGCAATCTCAGCTCACTGTAACCTCCACCTTCCAGGTTCAAGGGATTCTCCTGCCTCAGCCGGGATTATAGGCATGCATCACCACACCCGGCTAATTTCTGTATTTTTAGTAGAGACGGGCTTTCATGATGTTGGCCAGTCTGGCCTCAACCTCCTGAACTCAGGTGATCCACTTTCTCGGCCTTCCCAAGTGCTGGGATTATAGGCGTGAGCATGCCCGGTCCCCCTCACTGTCCTGCTCCCACTCTTGCCATGTGATGTGTCTGCCTCGGCTTTGCCTCCTACCATGAGTAGAAGCTTCCTGAGGCTCCCCACGAAGCTGAGCAGATGTTGGTGGCATGCTTGTATAGCCTGCACCACCATGAACCAATTAAACCTCTTTTTATAAACTACCCAGTCTGATATTCCCTTCTAGTAACACTGAAATGGACTACTGCAGTTATATATTTTTTAAGGTATTGTAATTTTTAA